GTTTTATTCAAATTAACCCGATTAAAAATCAACCTCTAGTATCCAAACTAGATTATTAATACCTGCAAAAACTCCAACTTGAACCGAAATCCAAAATAAAAAAATATGAAAGATTAAATTAATAAATTAAAATTAACTCATAAAATATAAATAAAAATTTTAAATCATATATATTAAGAACAATTAATTAATTATAAATAATGTATAAATTAAAAAATAAACTAAAATGAAATATTTTAAAATTATCATTTATAATCAAATTTGAATTGTAAATATTCTATACGCAAAGCTATTCAAACGTATGACAGGTAATGTAATGTGTTTAATTATAAAGTATACGTTGCATATCTCTATTTTAAAGGCTACCTTTGAACTTCCCAAGGAAGAAAAAAGAAAAGGAAAAAGAAAGGTTTCGTATATTGCATTTGCACTTGGTGGGTACTTTTTGACCAATGGCTTACAGAATACAGATCCTAATGGAATATCTCTTAATTTAGGAGCAAATGCACTTAACTAGTACCGAAAGCATAAGAAAAAGGGGCTGTTATATTATAATAGTAGTCTTCATGACAAATCTCGTACTTTACCGTTTCTTAATTTTGTGATGCAAATGGAGGTCACTGAACAAGTCGAGGTACATCATCACATGGTACTTGGCTTACAAAGGTAGGAGCATATGGTTGGTCGGGCTTAGAAAGGCTAAAGGGGAAGAGGCTCCTTTCCAATCGTGCGGGTAGCCGTAGGCTTAGCTATAAATCACCCTACGCACTACCTTATGGTTTTTAAGGTTAGGATTTCCTTAAACAAATAAAAAGATGGGGATCGGACTGATGGGGATGGATAACTGTTCAAAGTCGCATCAGCTTTTTTTTTTAATTATATATTATAAACATAACATATTCCGTTCTGACAAAGGAGACTGCGAACACATTTCTTTTTAATTAACGGAAGGAAAATTTGGATTCTGTTTTTTAATAGCAAAGAGTCAAATACTTAGGTGTTGCAAAATCTTATTATATTAGGGCAAATGCAGTATTATAAAACCTTATTATGTCAGTTTTTTCTTTTTTAATTCTTGTCTTGTATGTATATATATTTACATTTGAATGGCTTCATTCAACTTTTGAAGGCACATGGGATATGTTTACAGAAAATGTTGAAGCATTAACACCTACGTTTAAGGACCCTGTTTACAAGGAGTGTTAGTATTGATTTTTACAGGTTTGTATCTTCTTCTTTCTTTTCAATTAATTTGGCACAAGAATTTTCCTACATATATGCCAGAGCCCTAGAGGCTGGAAGTAACCTTTCAAATTTTTATCAGGAAATAGTTATACAAGTGTCTTACTTATTCCCTGGGTTTGATCAGTTAATCTTGTTCTCTCTCTAGTCTCTCTGATACAAATGCACATATGCTTTAACTCGTGGAATTTGCTTAATTTCTTGAAATATGTTAAACAGGGAAACAGAATGGCGCACACAGACTCACATAGAGAGAAATGCATGTCTCTACTACTGTCTTCATGTTATCAACTATGTGACAGTACTTTCAACCCAATCATGCGTCGTGAAAGGTTGACGGGTATAAAATCTGGCCACCCCGATCTCTTCTAGCTAAAGGAGGAAGTGAGCTTTGCATTAAACCTGGGTTTTCCTCTTCAAGCAAATTAAGTGACAAGGAGGAATGAGCAATTTGCATTATTAAACCCAGAGAGAGAACACACAAAATTTATATTAAGAAGGAGAAAAGAACAAAGACATCATTTTAAGCAATAAGTAATAAGCTGAGTGGAAGAAGCATTATTTGCTTTTAAAACCTTACCGAGATGTACGTTAATGTTGCAGATTTCAGTCCCTCTCAACATATACTAAACAAAACAGAAATGTTGAGCAAAGTGTATATGGTGTTGTCTAATCAAACTCCATGCCCTGCTTAAAAATTGTATAAGCTAATCAATGTGCGGCTGAGAGAAAGTTCACTTGAATTCGAATGTGGAAAGAAATGCCAAGGGTTCCATTTATGGAAATTATTCGCATGCCTTGCAACTCGCTTTCGTCTATATTTCATCAATATCAAACAGACACTGGCATGTGCATCGAACTCTTATTTATGACCATGTTGAAGGGTAATAAAGCTGCTAGTGGGACCGTACCATCTTCTTAAAAAGCACTCTTAGGTTGCGAAAAACCTCAATCGGTGTAGGTTGTTACTGAAAACTGAAGCTTTGTTATAGAAGCTCTCTCCTGTTTTTCTTCCTACTGAAGCTTAGTGATAGAAGCTCTCTCTCTTGTTTCTCTTCCTACTATTTCTTCATCGACTCGTTGAAAAAGCCCTCTTTCCTCATCAACCCCTCATGGCATGCAGACCTTTCATGCTTTCTTTGTTTATGTTTCTACTTTTACAGCAGCATTTTCACCTGATATCAGCATCGCGCTCACTAGCGTTTCGTGCACCGTCTATCCCTAAAGATTCTTTGAGCAAGCCAAGTCCTCAATCCAATAATATTGGCAGGTTTACTATAAATCGTTATAAAATGATTGAGGCAGACGCTTTTCGGCCAACAAGTCCTGGTCATAGCCCTGGTGTTGGCCACAACGACCCACCAGGTGCTCCTTGAGAATGATCTAAAATCTCTCTCATTTTCTATTGGTAGGTTTAATTTCTAGTTTCTGAGAGTGTGACAGAGTGATAAAATGTTTGAGAGAACCCCCAGAGTAAAGGAAACTTCCATCAGAAGTACTGCTTTCTGCAGTCTTGTGCTAAAGTTATGATTTTCCATATAATTAGCACCTTTTCGTTTGGCTCATTGCGAAATCTCTACCCCCAAGCATCTGCACGTACGCATAATATATATATATATATATAATATGCAGCCTTTTTATTTGTAGATTGTTTTTGCCCTTAGTTTCCTTTGAGTTTTTGAGCATGGCTTTTCAAGGTTTTTCTTCTTAGAGTAGCTAGTTGTGTTTCTATTTCATCTTGGAGATGGCTGATCAAAAGAGTAAGAGAGTTGCAGCATCCCAGGTGCCATGTGCTTTATAAGGCAATTCGTTTGCTGCTTTTCCTTCTTTTTTTGAGATCATATATATGAATGTCATGACTTCGATGTGGTGCAATAAAAGGTGTGTGTTCATTATTATCAGTTTTTTAGTAAGCAATTTCAAGTACAACTCAATGTTCATTACTTGATAAGAAACAAAGAAAGATATTAAATTTAGAGGTAAAATCCACTTAAGTCTTCAACTTTTAACCATAATTACATATATGTTCATTAATATTCAAAATAAACAATCTATCCAAAAAATTATTTTCACCAGACACATAAGTTCTACCATTAGTTAAGTATTAATATTTTTGTTAATTTGATGACGTGATAATATTTTTAAAATAATTTTATTTTTTATTAATTTTAAAAATTACTACTAAAAAATTATATTTTTTATTTTTAAATTTTTACCTCTTTTCCAAAAAAAAAAAAAAAACTCCCAACTCAACCTTCTTCCGGCCAGCCATGCTCCCTTGGCAAGCACAATTAGGAGAGCATCCGATCTAATGCTCCTTAGGGAAGCCTGAGATCTAAGATGCATGATCAGATCTCGCATTTCATTAGAGAGATTCGATTGGATTTAGTGTTTTAATCTAATCGTTTTGGTTAATTTGAAAAGAAAAGAAAAATAAAAAAAAAAGATATTTTAGATTTTTTTGTTTATACATTAACGTCGTTTACAAATTTAAAAAGAGTTATCCATTTTCAAAACTAACGAATTCATATATAATTAAAATAAAGAATTAAAACTGCTAATATACTTTATTCTAAATTTAGATACAAAGCAGGAACTTGATTCTTAATTTAAAGACTCTGTTTGAGTTCGGATGTACATAGCTGACAACATCCAGTTTAATTCCCCTAGCTCCTCCTCTCTGATCTCGAAGACAAAAGAAACCACAGATTTCCCCCTTTTGTGTGTAAATTAAAAACTCTAGCTAGTGCGCCACTGTCCTTTTCTCTGACATTAGCTTTAGATGTATAAAATAATATGCCGATAGGCTACAACTTTTTACCCCAGAAATCTAACGTGGGTAATGAAACATCTCTCCCCCAGGCCATCTTTGCATTGTTTATTGCCAAGTGGTACGCCCCAGTCCCCACCAACAAGTTCGACTATCAGTTTCCGTTTCATATTTTGATATTCTTTTCTTGTATGTTTAAAGTTGTAAGCAGTTGGTGTGGTTACTTTGAGCTTGACTAAAGTGTAACAGGCTGCAATCTTATAGCAGAAATCTTAAGTTGGAGTGTTGGTTTTGTTCTTTTTTTTTGCACCAAAAAGAAAGAAATTTAACCCCACGCTGAAGAAACATTAATCCACGTTATTCAGATATTAATTATGAAACGAACCGGTTATTTGCATGTACGAAAATATTCATATTTTAATTTAAAAATGTGAAAAAAACACCTTTAGTTATAGAATAATTCATAAAATAATTTTAGAAAATTATGTTGGCAAAAGAAATGGTATTGTTCGAATAATTAATATTATCAAGAGCTTTGAGCTTCGATTAACTTATTATCAGTACTAGTGTTGTAATGGGCTTCCCCCACCTGAGATGAGCCCAATTACACTAAGATTCGGTTATTTTGTGGGAAATGGGCATTCCGGAAAGCCCATTATAGCCACGCTTGCTGGGGCCTTTCCGCTCGCGTTGGGCTAACAGCTTTACATATGTCTTAATTATTTTTGATAGAAAGCTTAAGTTAAGTTCTATCTTAATTTATAATTATCATTACAACTTGCTAAAATATCCTAAAATCTGAATATATATATTATCTATTCAATGAAATCTGATGTAGGAGAGGGAGCAACACAATTCATTCTTAACGTACATGCATGGGGTGTTAACATGTTGACGGACAAGGTCGCCATCGCCTACTCCTACTGCATGCATGCGTAGGGTGAAATTATGAATTTTGCAATCAAGCTTTCTTAAATCCCATAGGATGACATGCATGGTGATGGTGACGTGTGCATAAAATATTTTACATGACATAATCTCTGCATCTAGCTATATATAGGCGAAAAGCCAGTCGCCATGGCTTGCAAATGCAAATTGATGATTTTAATTCATATCCCTATTTGTTTCTTAATTAGGGAGAAGTTGTAAATATGAAGGATCGAGATAAAGAGTATTTCCAATATTTAACATTTTTAAGTTATTTTTTCAACAATTAAGCGGGAATAAGTCTTGCCTTGTCATACATAACCTAATTAGTAATTTGGCAAAATCTGTATATGGATAATTTATTTGTAGATTGGACGGTTGTAATAGACTTTCATGTAACATAACTAAAAAGACTCGTTATTTATCCAATGTTCAAAACGAGTACAACGTGTTTAAAAAATTTGAAGTTTTACCTGAAATAAAAGGTTTGTATCTATTCTTAACTTTAAAGTCACAATTATGACGTTGTTATGTTACTAATGTGATAATGGATTATTTAATCGTAAAATTTAAATTCTTACAAGTACTTTTTTTGACTCATTATCATAATATTAATGAGTTACTATAAAAAATTAAAGCAGCTGCATTATTTGAATCTATTTGTAACTTCAAATGAAAGGTTATCGAACTCTTTGACTACATTGTACAATTTGCAAACATTGTTCTTATTTGAGTGGCAAAAGATGTCGAGTTGCCCGAAGACATGGGGAGATTGATCAACATGCATCATCTTGACACAAGGCACACAAAGTTGGCAAGGAGGCCACCAGGAATGGGTAAATTAAAAGATCTTCGAGCATTAACAGATTTTGTTTTTGGTGAGCAAAATGGTTCAAGCATTAGTGAGTTGGGAAAGCTCAAGAATCAACATGGAGGACTTGCCATTTCAAATTTACAAAATGTTGTTTGCCATAGGGATGCCAAAGATGCCAATTTGAAGGAGAAGATCAACCTTAAGGAGTTGGTGTTGATATGGAGTAAGTATTATCATACTAATGATGAATCAACGCATGATAGAGAACTACTTCAACAACTGGAGACTCACACAAACTTGGAGCATCTTGCTATTGAGTTTTATAGAGATACAAGATTTCCGGAATGGGTGGGGCATTCTTCCTTCTCGAATCTAGTATCTTTGCAACTGAGGGGTTGTAAATTTTGCTTGTTCTTGCCACCGCTTGGGCAATTATCATCTTTGAAATCTTTCTCCATTAAAGGGTTTGCTGAAGTAGTAACAGTGGGTGATGAGTTTTATGGTCACGGTTATGCTTCGAGTAAACCATTTGGATCACTGGAAATTCTAAGTTTCGAGGAAATGCCAGAGTGGGAAGAATAGTTTTGTTTGAAAGACAGAGCTTTCTGGGTTCTCCAAGAGTTGTGCATGGAAGATTGTCCCAAGTTAACCAAGTCTTTGCCCAAACACCTCCCTTTTTTAATGAAACTTAAGATTGAGAGATGTGGGAAGCTTGGAGGCTTGCTTCCAATGGCACCAGGCATGTCTGAACTGGACTTAAACCAATGTGATGCATTGCGATTGGAGCCATTGCCTCGTGGGCTTCTACAGTTGCAAATTTACAAATTGAATATCAATGATTCCATATTGGAGCAGGCGGAGCGACATTGCGCTTATCTTAAAAAGTTGGTAATATGGAATTGTTATGGTCTCAGATCTCTTCCTGAAGGCAGTCTACCTACTACGCTCAAGTGTTTGAGCATCAATAACTGTAATGTGTTGGATTATTCCAAAATCCTCTTGTATACATCCCTGGAATGCTAATTCATAAGTGGCAACGGCGATCATCCACTAGAATCCTTCCCAATAGGATCATTCCCTAAGCTAAATCTTGTTGGTATCGGCTCATGCGAAGGCTTGAAGTCGATTTTACATCTTTTCTCGAAGAGGGATTATCTGTCGCCGATTTGACATCACTTGGACTTATCGATTGCAAAAATTTAAAGTCATTGCCTGAGCAAAAGCAGTCTCTCTTTCCATCCCTTGAGATTTTGGTGATATTCAATTGTCCGGAAATTGAGTCATTTCCAAAGGAGGGTTTACCCTCCAAATTAAAAGATATTACAAGTCAAAGAAGTGAAAAGCTGATTGCGGGCAGGAAGGGTTGGGGTTTGGAAACACCCCCTTCAGTTACAACCTTTCGAATCTATGATGCAGAGGAGATAGTCTTTCCCAGATGCACATATATATGCTGCCCTCTACTCTTACTGGTCTTCCAAATCTTACGTTTTTGGACTACAAGGGCCTTCGACACCTCACGTCTCTTCGCAAATTGGTTATCTCGGACTGTCCGAAGCTCCAATCTATGCCAGCAAAGATGCCTTACAAATTGTCCGTTGCTGGAAGAAATTACGATGAGAAGGAAGGAAAAGATTGGCCTGCCATTGAGAATGACGGACAACTCATTATTTGGCAGGACTATGTATGTCTCAAACAGTCCCTTTGATGATTGGGCATGATGAACGCAATCTGACTCAGGCACTCCATTCATTTTCATTTAGTTTCGCTAACCCTTGTCCATTCTCCATTTATTTTACATATTTATTTATTGATTTTTCTTTAAAAATTTTTTAATTGATTGAGGTTTGTGTACTACCTTCTCATTTAATTTTTATTGTTTTTGTTTGTGAGAGCAATACCTGTGAATTATGTGTTATTTTTTTTTCCACCATTTTGTTGACAATGCATCATGCTCTTGTTCTTTATGAAAAGCAATATATATATATATATATATATATATGGGTGGCAGCTTATAGCTTTTAATTAAGAGTCCATCTGCTGTCTGATTCTAAAGTTGTTGAAAGGGCAATCTCACTGCTTTAGGGGGGTGTCCTTTCGCTGTAGCCTATGGCCTATGGGTTCCTTAATTCCTTTTAACCAATTAATTTTGGTCCCAATAATGAAGGAGGATGGAATGGATTGTACCGTAGGTGTTCCTATACGAGGTAGCTGATATATATGTACCACTACTGTTTGCTTTATTTGTATGCTATACTTTTGATATTGCCATCGGTATAAATCGATAAATTTTATTCAATTACTTGATTTAAACATTAATAAAATTAACCTTAGATATATAGAAGATTATCTTTCAAATTTGAATAAAAGAATTGTAATTAATTTAGCAATTGGGACAAACATCAACATACATATATATATATATATATCTATGAATTAGGGGTTATGTGAGTAACTTGTAAGTGTATACCTTCCCAAGAATTCAAACATGTTGCTGATATAAATAGTTCTATTTTCCTCTAAAAGATTTTCTATTTCTACTATTTTTTTTCTCCTTAAATTGACTCTAAAGTCCATATCGTCTTTATTAATTTGTTTGCCGTCAGGCTGTCTTCTCACCTGTCTATCCAGAAACAGTGGTGATCTCCTATTGGTTGAAAACCACAAGTTGTTTATGATAATCATGCAAGCTAATATTTGAAACACAGAAGCATGTGGGCTGTAGCTACGATACCATATCATGTTTTATAGCAGAGAAAGTTGTCTTGATCATGCAAGCATTAAATAAGTTTTTCTTGAGAGCAATCGCTAGCTGTAGAATTCAACTTGATGAAATATTTCAAGACAAATCCTCTACTCCTTTTGTTGTTTAATGCAACTATATATATATATATATATATTGCCTGTTGATATCACCACCTATTATATAGTCAACACGTTTATTGTACTAGTTAATTATTAATTATCCAACACAACTTTATTTTATGTAGGCGGATCTTTTGTAATGTCTAATATATTTTTTAATTTAATAAAATAAAAATGGTTCAAGACATAAAAAACTTACCATACATACTGTGAAAGCTGGGTGATTATTGACTGATTTTTTTTTTTTTTTTTGCTATTTCCTTGTGTCATCCTGGAACTGGGGCCTGTTTCATTGAACTAAACAAATTAGACAACTTGGTTTGTTATAGAAAAATAAACTAAATACTAAAAGGAAGAGCGTAATTAATTTAATATTGGTGGCAGTTGCATTGAGTTAAGACGGAGGAGGGGTGGAAGAACAGAAATTTTCTGCTCTTGTTGGCTGTCTATTAATAATTATATATATGTGATTAAATCTTAAATTTTAAAATTTAATTCCTAAAACTAAATGATGGAAACATTACTATGAAGAAACGACATCAAAAGTCAGAGGATTTTTATTGGGCGGCCAATTTGGTTGACTGCTGCGCTATTCGCCTGTCACCGTGATAATCAACTTGGTTACTCATTTCCAGCACCTCTGCTCTCTCTTCCTTTCATCGCTTTCATATATATAAATATAAATATATATATATAAGTATTTTGGGTTTTTTAATCTCAAGTCATGTTATTATATATATAGGACGTTAAGCTCTTTTGTTCAGATTAATCCAACTTTTGTACACTAATTTTTATCTTAATTAAAGCATGGAGGAAAATGGTGTCGGTAGGGGAGAGGAGCAGGCGACGGTGATTGAGTTGAGTGCCGGCATTGACACAGAGAAACTCCCCCTATGGGAAGAGGAGAGGCAGTACGGTAACTGTTACGTCAACTCCATCTCCTCTCGCGAAATGGAGTCCCTCACTGCCATCTGCGATGCCTTCCTTCCATCCCTCCACGTCTCTGCCGCTGATGCTGATGCAGTCGCAACGTTTTATCAGTCTTCAGCTTCCATGGCTGCAACTCCAGAGCGTGTAGGAACTTTCTTCCTCACAAACCCTTGTCCTTTTGCGCTGCATCTTACATTAATTAATTTATTGCTATATTTGCTGCATGCAGTGTGCATCACCTTCATCTCCTGTGCTGCATAACCATCAAAATCACCCTTTAAACTTCATTACTAATTAATGATTTGTTGAATAACCTTGGCCTATTCCTCTACTTCCTTACTTTCAGAGTTTCGGTTCAAATCCCGAAACCAAAAGTTATAATATTTGATTAAAAAAAGGGGTATCAACTATACTTTAATCGTTCTTCAAATAAAAAATTATTTCAGATTTCAAAAACTGACAATTACCAACTTTTTCAAAGCAAGTTAATTATTTGGTCTATAAATATTTCTACACATGCATGATGAGCTATATATATTTATATATACAGGTAGGAGGGTTGCTGAGCGAGAGGATGGAGCATCCCAAGAAATGGATGATAAGGTTAGCACTGTGGCTGTTGTCAACTTGGCTGGGAACCTTCATACTCTGCGGACCAAGAAGCCTATCGACCAATTTCCCCTTCTTCCATACTTTCTCTCAGTTGTCTCAACAGAAAAGGGAGGAAATTCTGCTTTCATGGTCTCTTAGTTTTTTCTATCACCTCAGAATGCTCTTCAAGTCCACGAAGCTTCTCACCCAGCTAGTCTTCTTCTCCCAGGTAAGAATCCTATGGTTTTTTTTTTATTTTTTACTGTAACTTCTTTATTGTCTCGCTGATTAAAGAACTTTCTTTGGATTGGTCTGTTCAAAATTTTATGTTTTTATTTAGGGAGGATTTTTTTTTCTTGAAGATAGAATATTTAAAAAATAATTTTTTTAATTTTAATTTTTTTTAATCAAGAGAAAATTTTTTTAAATAAAATTACCTTTAATGAACCTCTTCATATTTAAGAACTCTCAAATTTTCTCTCCCACCATTTATCTGTTTTGCTCCCCATTCTGCTATTCTTTTCATTTTTTTCTCTCATCATTTAATTTTTTTTAATTTTATCATCATCACTATCTCTTTGTCTATCTCTCGTTATCTCGTCATATGATCAAAAAGCATAACATAAAAAGTAACAACACATTCTTGAGTTTATTAATTTATATTTACAAAATACTATCTTTGCTTATCTCTTGCCATTTCATCATCAATCTACAAATAAAAAAGTATGACGTGGTGAGTAATAACGGATTCTTGAATTTATGAGTATTAAGTTTTTCACTGATTCAAGTTTAGTAGAACATACCTTTAGAGTGTAACAAAGTGATTCATGTCTTGAATCATTAAAAAAACTTAACACTCACAAAATCAAAAATTCATTGTTACTTACTATGTCATTCTTTTTGATCTATAAATTGATGATGAGATGGTGAGAAATAATAGAGAGAGGGTTTTATGAATGTGAACTAATATACTTAAGAATGTGTTATCTTTCATGTCATGCTTTTTGGTATGTAGATCAACAACGAGATGATGAGAGATAAATAAAAAGATAGTGATGATGGTAAAATTAAAAAAAGTTAGATGACGAAAGAGAAGAATAGAGAGCAAAGCAAATGCATGGTGAGAGAAAAAATTCGGGAGCATTTAATTTGTTTGAAATAGTTTTTAGAGTATTTTTATCATTTTAAGATAAAAATTAATTAAAGACAATTAATTTTATATTGAAAGTTATTTTTTGAGACGAGCTTAGCATTGTTTTTTAAAATTTTCTCTTTTATTTATCAAATAAGTCTAACTCAATTCATTGTTCAAAATATCAATATCTTTCAAAATCTTTCATATTTTATTTTATTTTTGTCTGTCTAAAAAGGTATACATTTATTTCTTGAGGGTCAATGGAATGCATTAAAAAACAGGTGCCTAAGCCATCGCAAATTAAAGGAAGTACATCAACTTTGCCTCAAAATTAATGGTAAATGCAACTACTCTGATGCTTATCCGCGCTGAGTGGTGGTTGTGACAATAGGCGTAGCTAGTTCATTCAACTAGTTATTAATTCGGTTTGCAAGAAATAATTAATGCCTGCTAGCTGCTGCAATCGCTACTGTACAAAGAGAAAATGACCAAAAACTATAAACCAACGCAACATTCATTAATTAGATGATCAGCTAACCAGAGAACAGTGAAGACAATGATGTTTTAACTTGCATGGAATACAATTGGTAATAGCACGCAGGCAGGATATTCCAACAGATCGACCTCACTTCATCAGATAATTAATGAACCTGTTGCTCACAGGTAGATGAGAAGAATCAGAACTTGTCATGGAAAGCGATTGGCTACTGCGGACCTGACCCAGAGTTCAAACCTCAAGCCAGTCGATTGAAGACGTCAACACAAAATGGTTATGGAAACTTCATCTGTAAGGAACAAGAATGCAAAGAAGATGGTGAGAAAGAAGAGCCTTTGGGTCCCCTCTGTAGAGGTCTTATCAACCTAAGACACCCACGAGAAGTTGTTGCAGATAATCTACTACGATTTGGGTTCCCGGTTTCGGTTCGTCCTAAGAAGATTAATCCTCCCAACTCATCTCATCCTTCTTTAACCATCAAATGTGATGCAGTAATAGTTGGTTCCGGCTCGGGAGGCGGTGTGGTTGCTGGTGTTCTTGCCAAGGCTGGTTACAAAGTGCTTGTTTTAGAGAAAGGAAACTACTTCGCCAGGAGCAATCTTTCACTTCTGGAAGGGCCCAGTATGGATCAAATGTACATGTCTGGTGGTATGTTGGCAACTGATGACATGGGAGTTGTGATACTTGCAGGCTCTACTGTCGGTGGAGGCTCTACAATCAATTGGTCAGCTTCAATTAAAACCCCACAGCATGTGATCAACGAATGGTGTGACCGCTGTGAGCTGGAGTTATTTGACAGCAAATTGTACAAAGAAGCCATGGATGTGGTATGCGAGAAAATGGGAGTTCAGTCTGAAATTGTTGAAGAAGGATTCAACAATGCAGTTTTGAGAAAAGGGTGTGAAGAATTGGGGTATCCCGTAAATGACATTCCAAGAAATTCACCGCCTGATCATTACTGTGGTTGGTGCTGTATGGGCTGCAAAGATGGAAGAAAGAAGGGTACTTCAGAGACGTGGCTAGTGGACTTGGTAAATTCAGGAAATGGTGTAATTCTTCCTGGATGTGAGGCCATTAAAGTTTTACACAAAAGAAGGAAAGGGAGAGGCCGAAATAGAGCAACTGGGGTTGCTTTTCAGTTGGAATATGTAGGGGCAAAAGACATCTGCATTGTGGAGTCTAAGGTGACCATTGTTGCTTGCGGGGCTCTCAGTACTCCACCTTTGTTGAAAAGAAGTGGTTTGAAGAATGCTAACATTGGGAAAAACTTGCATCTCCACCCAGTGGCAATGGCCTGGGGATATTTTCCAGATGCGCCTTTGTCCAGTGGTTGGCCAGAGAAAGAGAAGAAGAGCTATGAAGGAGGAATTATGACAGCAATGTCTACTGTTGTTGCAAATATGGACAAGTCTGGATATGGGGCAGTACTACAGACACCAGCATTGCACCCTGGCATGTTCTCAGCATTAATGCCCTGGCTTTCTGGTGCAGACATGAAAAGGAGAATGCTCAGGTTCTCTAGGACAGCTCACATATTTGCATTGGCAAGGGATAAAGGGTCAGGACACGTATATTCACCAAATTCAATTGGTTATAAGATGGAAGCCACCGATGAAGAGAATCTGAAGAAAGGATTAGATAAAATTTTAAGAATACTGGCAGCAGCTGGAGCTGAAGAGATTGGGACACATCACTGTAAAGGGAAGAGCATAAATGTGAAGCAAGCAAGCTCACATGAGTTCGAGAGGTTTGTCAAGGGGGAGAGTTCGCGGCCATTAAGAGACTTAAACACACAAATATGTTCAGCTCATCAGATGGGTAGCTGCCGCATGGGGATTGATCCAAAGCAATCAGTGGTGAACCAGATGGGGGAAACATGGGAGGTAGAAGGACTTTTTGTTGCAGATTCAAGTGTTTTGCCGACGGCTTTAGGTGTCAATCCAATGGTAACTATTCAAGCTATTGCTTACTGTACTGCACAGTCCGTTCTTGACGTTTTGAAGAGGAAGAAAAGTATACACTGAATCGGCTGTCTCAATCTTCAACTCTTGTATGCACCAATCTTCCCACATTGAAGAAAACTAAGCGCTTGGGTGCCCGAAGTTGTTGAAAGGGGTTTAAGAATTGGGTTAAGGGCTTAAGGCCGTGCGGCATAGATATATACATACATATATGTATATAAAGAAGGCGATCGTCTGCCAACTATCTCGCAAATCTTGGCCAAGGGCGCTGCGAATGGCCGGACTATATATCTTGAGGATCTTCCTCCCGGAGGCTCAAGTTACAGCTGCTGGCTGATGCTAATGGTGTTTCCTGTTTGCGTGTTTACTGCTATAGTCTTAGTTGATTCAACTGTACAATAAAAAGTTGAGTGCCTCCTTCTACTCCTTTACTAGTTTATTGCTGGACATATTGTGCACATGATTGACACACATATCATGCATGAATCCAACCATGCATCCTGAGCACGTTCTGGCAAAGGATAATTCTACTTAGCTTCAACCTTTCCTAGCATAAGATGAGATCCTAAAACGTGGACTGAGTTTCGATGGTATGTCTCTCAGCCCAAGGCTAAATTTTGAGCTTACCCAACTCAAGACCTAACATGGAATGGGCTTTAAAACATGGGCTTCCGTAATTCACAAGATTTTAAAGAAGGGAAAAATCAAATACTACCTCAAAGATCAGCATTGTGGGTGGGAGTCCAAAACCCATACAATTTATGTGTTTGAACTTTAAACCTAGTTAACTATTTGTATACATCATCTAGGGATAAATATTCAAAGTCTATGGACAATCAGTGTCTTCCTCACCATAAATTAATTCGATGGCAGTAATGAAACAAAACATTCTGACCATAAGCAGTGAGTACAATATTACACCTACAACCGTAGGTGATTGTTCCATAGGCTTTACGATATTATTAGATTCTCAAATTTTATAAGATAACAACTTTTATCTGTCCATAAAGAAAACGGTCAACTAACATAGTCAGAATGCAAGAAAAGAAAGTGGGCATAAGCAAACATGGAATCATTCTTTCTCCTTTTCAGGGTGGTGGGTGGAAGCAAGGTTGGATTGTGCCACACACACTGACAGGCCAAGCATCTAGCTACAGCCGCAAGGCCATAGGGTTTCATCAGTTCAGCATCAGATGCCATGGATTATTTTAATCGAGACAAAAACTGCTCAAGCAAGGAAATTTCAAAGAAGAAACTTCAAAGCTCAGCTGGCTGGCAGAGCCAGTTCCAAATCAATTCCCTTCACAAAATATGCATCGTCCTTTTCCTTTTCTTCAAATAATAGAAACCAACGCACGTTGAGACAAAGTCCACCACTCCAAGTATATATCCAACTTGCACCACCGAAAGGACTGCAATACACATACAATTCTCCCCGGAAAAAGCCTGATGCTATTAACCGTTAAATAATTATCTACAACGAAACATTTGAGGAAATAAAAACCAAGTATCAAATCTGTAGTCAAATTAAAGCATATTATGAACTCCTCGTGATTTTATCGCTTTGAATTGTCAAAAAATAGACTGCAAACTCACCCTTGAGACGGTTGTTGACCACCCGCACGTCATTGAAAAAAGCTTCCCATAGAATCTACAACTACATAAAAGAGTAAATAGAGTTAGGACTTTGGGGACATGGTATCTCTCCTTCGAAGCGATGAAAGAATTGTTTGGAAGAAAAGCTCAACCACCGCTAAGGAAGAAAACCAAGGGACAGAAAGAGGAGGATCGCCACCTACAGTTCTTTTCGTCTGTCTATCCCTTGAGTAAGCCCCAAGCCTCCTTCTTCCTTCTTCTTGCCTCCACTTGAATTCGCTTGTCCTTTCAAGCCATGGGAAAACACCGAGTTGGTTTCGTGTTGATCTTCTCTGCCATTGCCTCCCTCGGCCTTGTCTCCTTCGCCTCTTGTCTTGTTGCAGAGGGTAAGAGAACCAAGGTACGTTGGTATTTCGTTCTTTGCAATTGATACATGAGTTTTTAATTTGTTTGTTTTCTAAGACGAGTCTCTTGTTCATGCAGAAGGGTGATCTCAAGTTGGATGGAAAGCTGTGTTTCTTGCCTGCCAGTCGTGCCTTCGGATTTGGAGTTGCAGCACTGATCTGTCTCTCAATTGCTCAAATTATAGGCAACGTAGCAATCTGGGCGAATTGCTGGTGGAGACGAAAGGCGAGAAAGGCTAAGAAACCATTCCTTACTGCAATTCTCCTGGCTATTTCCTGGTAGGTGATCCACCTCTTGTATGTCTCTATTGATACAATCAGTTAATCAGTCATCCATTGCCACGTTAACAGAGACAAATTAGGCTGCTCAGTACTGCTTCCAGAATTGTATTGTGGACCGGTGGTTTAGGTCGTACAGAGTATCATGTACCTATGAAGTACAAACCAAAATCATAGATAGATGAAAACGTTTTCTCCCTGCTCTGTTCATTGCTAGAATTTCTGGTCACCAATAATCATAATTCGCATCTGAATGTTTGATTCATTGATGCATCCATTATTCTGTCTAAAGAGCAAAGTTTGAATTTCTCTCTTCCAATTATAGGAAAAAAAAAATCCCATAGTTCCCGAAAGCCCTGTTTCACACATTTCCAGCTCTTTTCCTAAAGAGGTGATGTGAGTCAATCTGATTGGCTACCGATCGGAAACTACGATGATTTTCAAGAGAGAGACAGAGAGGCGACCAACTAGTTGGGAAAACGCATGCTGAACATGGACAGCTGGAAATGTCTCAGTTTCTTAAATCTCAACGCCTGGGAAAATTATATTTTATTAAAAAAGGGATAACAATTGGACGTTGCTGATACTAATAAATAATCATAGCAGAAACATGGTCTTGGTATTAAAGAAAAAATACATAAAGGTTAAAAAGCTTCGAATCTATCAAATTTGCAGGATCAGCTTTGGAGTTGCAGTCATCTTATTAAGTGCGGCCATGAGTATGAGCCGAACACAACCCTACAGAGAAGGATGGTTCGAAGGTGAATGCTACCTAGTTAGAGATGGAGTGTTCATAAGTTCCGGGGTATTAAGCCTGGCTGCCCTTTTCTCGTTGCTCGGCGCAGCCGCCATGATGATTACGGTGGATCAGGTTGATCAAGGCCAGAAAGTGTATGCACAGAACGTCGACAATAAAAGCAGTGATAGGATTGCAATGTTTGGGGAATCAGAGGCGGCTTAGTTTCAAGAAACAGGATGGTTTTATAAATTTTCAAAGAAAAAGAACCAAGTCTTCCACTGAAGACCGCAACTGACAACAGCCGAAACATTGCAGAAGCCAAAAGGCCCAACGGGAGGCTTGAAAAGCAATACTGGAAACTCTTCTACATCTTGATATTGATATTAGGAACACATGGAACAAGGGACAGTGAGCAAGGGCCCAAAGGGGATGCCCCACGATTCACTTGACTTCCACGGTCCCGCTTCCCCCTTCCTAAAGTCAGAAAAGATAATTAACTTCAACAAAAAAATGAGAGAGATGGTTTTCTTCTTTTGTATATATTCCCATAAAGTTAGTTGATGATGTGGATAGGCTCTCCACCATTAAAACAAAATCAATACTAAATTCAATTTATTTGATACCTTAACAAACGTATTCCCTCTTCATAGCATTCCTCCTTTTCCCCGCTTCGCATTCGTAATATATCAAGCAAAGCGCCAATTAACATAGGACGGTAATGAAAAAAATTAAAAATAAAAACACAACATACCAAAAATGACTGGGATTATGGCAAGAGGGTAGGAAAATGATACCAGGGGAAATTTTACTAGTACCAAATTGATGTAGGTGGGTAGGAACTAAATCTTTCTTACCCCACTTCCGTGCTTGAACAACACTACTATAGAGGGCTCCACACTTATCGTAGAGCTAACTACACTAAAGCAAAAAATTCTTATTCTTATTATGCCTTGCCCTCGACGTAAGACATATCTCAACAGGCATCACCTCATAACATATTATTATCCATCATCCATCAGTGCTGATGCTTCCTCTACTGTTCCTCTGACATTCAAATATAAGTTAGCCGCTCCACTTTACAGGTTAAAACATTTTTACACGCTGAACCATCTCCTATAGGCCAATCAGTTTTTGGCAGTCCAATATTGGCGGCTCACAACATCTTTCTCTACATAAACATTAATTTTGAAATTTAGATATATCATAATTGCTATTAGACCAACCAGTAGTTATCCAATCAACTTCTCTTCCCCACCTTTCTTATTGTTATAAAATAGTTATAAAGCATTAACTGGCACTACCTCCCTCGCAGTGTGAGAAAACCTTCCTTAGTTGACACTAGGAACCAAACCAGTTGCCAGCTCCCCCTTACCCTATCTGCTTTCCTCAAAATTTCTCATGATAATGATTTAACATTACGAAAGAAAAAAGCACTATACCAGGTACGGTAACTGCCTCAAAATCTCAGTGCAGATAAAATAAATGGCTAAAATAGGTTGTTCGCATTGTAGATGGAAATTACCTAAATCCAGTGAATAAAAAAAAAAGGGCTGGTGGAATTGTCTTTACAAGGATGGTGGACGTACAATCATCATTCACATATATGCATCAAGCTTCAATAATTCTTTTGTTAAAAAATTATAGGGAAATGGTGAGCTCACGAGGAAAAAGAAAAAGAAAAACCACTTGAATCTGCCATAATGTATCAGTTTAGTTGTTCCTATCAAGCATCTCAGCAAGAAAATCTCAAACAACCATTCATTTACCTTGAGATAATGTCTTCATAACGCCAAAGGTTGATGAGAAAAACTAAGATGACAGATGACAATGTCTCTAGCAGCCATGGGATTTAATAGAACACTGAAAACTCAAATAACATCAGGGATACATGTTCTGACCACAGCCCCTCCCACCATAGCCGTATCCCCTGCCCCAGTTATAAGAGCCTCCATAGTTCTGACCATGTCCAGCACCATAGCCACCATAAGGTCCATAACTAACATGGGATCTCTGTTGGAAGTTGCCAAATGTCTGGAAAGTTAAAATGCAACAAAAGATTAATTGTTTAACAAACCTTAACTTTACATGTAGTTCTGTACCTGTTTCTTTCTGTGAAAAATATTCAAAGAATCAACAAACCTCACTATCTAACTTCATTCTCTCAGAGAAACGATTTTGTGCATTCCTTGCACCACGGGAATGAAAGTTACAGGAAATTGTGTCAAAGAAGTCATCTTTCTTGTAAGCAGGCTGCAGAAATGTGACATTTGAAATCATGTTAAAAATGATGAAAATAGCAACACCTACCTTGCATATAGAGCATTAAGAGAAAAACCTGTGTATCCAATTTTGCCAGTAGGCCAAAACCCTGTTTGTCCCCCAAGCTCTGGCCAGATGCATCATCCTCTATGCCTTCTGCTTTATCCTTTTGACTTGCCTTCCCAAGGTAGCCCCACACTTCATCCTTTTTGAACTTCTCATTCATGGCTTCAAAATCAAATTCTTCAGTATACAGTGTGGTGGAGTACAGAGACTGCAAAAATTCAACAATATGTAACAAGTAACTCTTTATAAGATTTCAAATATCCAATATTATCTACACAAATGGATTTTAAACACAGTCTTCAACTAATATTGATCCATTTATATATACAGTAAAAAAATCAAAGGAACCAATGCTTCTTAACAAAAGCCCTGCCTCAAGAAAAAAGAGTTGAGGAGGGGGGTGGTGGGGATGGGGAGAGAGGAAAAGGTCCGCAGCAAAAGCAATGTATATAAAATCACAACTAAACTGAAGCCACATAAAAATGCATCAAACCCCTCAACACAATATCAAACAACTGCAGACCAATTCCCATGCTAAAAAATAGACAAGGCCTCACTTAATCACATGAATGGTCTGCATTCACTTCAATACCAACATTCAGACTGCATGAAAGGAAAAATAAAAACAACCAGATCAACCAATAGCAGGCATATGTTCAAAGGACATGGATAGGAAATTAAATCAAAGGGATCTATCTATGACAAAAGTAAGGCTCATGTTCCAATGGTATCATACATTCAGGACTCAGGAGTAGGCCTCCAATTCACCCAGAAAATTGTTGATGCTTAAATATTATGAAAAACTGCCTATCTAAGAACTAAGATAGTAAACTGCAAGTTTGAAATCTTGAACTGGACCTCCTAGCATGCACGCTTCAAAAGCAGAAGCACTATGTTTTGCCATTAAGAAAACTGCACTATGCATCTCTCGAATAGATAACAAGCTCTGCCCCCATTTAGAAGAGAAAAAGCACATCTATATGAAGCAATAAGCTCAACTGGTGCTTTGTTCAGGTTTCCCTTCATCAACAATAGCATGTCTGCAACACCTCACCATTAGAAATTTCATGCATGAAGATCTATTCTGGAGTTACCAACCAAACACCATGACTCACTTCAATTCTCAACCAAGATTACATAATACGCCTCATAAAGATAGACTCTGCAACAGTTAACTACACAGTACTCAGCCATGCTCTAGCAAGTGTCAAAGGTAATCATTTTTGGCAAACACCACAGCAGCTAAACTCCATCTTTAGGTGCATAAAATCTTTCAATTCACTCAGAAACATCCATTCTAAATTCAAGAGAATCCAATTGCTTTGCTCCTTTCATTCTCTAACATCATTTTAAGGAAATTCTAATATGTGCACCAAGGACGCTGGTTAATACTACTATTTAAAGAATGGTGATTTCAACCTGTAACCTAAGGGCAGAGGTTAGATGAGATTTTAATGTATTGGTTAGTCTAACCTCTCGGAAAAGATATTCCGCAAAACTCGAAATTTCTGTCAGGAAGTTTTGTTCCTGGTAGACCAAATGTATGATTATTTCAGAATCTTGTCAAAACAATACAAATACAAGCAAGATGGTTAACATATGCATTTTCTTTTAGGCTTCAACTAATAGGAATACTTCAGAATGCTTATGCATGACTATCACAAGTATAAGCTTTCAGATTCAACAAAGTACAAAGAAACTTTGGAGAAAAGAAAAATTATCTGACCTGTTGTGCAGGAGCTGGCAAAGGCAACAATGGTGGTTGAGTTACTGGAGTAGAATTCACAGATGGAGTGTAAGATGATAGTGATGCCACTGCAATTGTATGATCCGGGTATGTAGTCTGTGTTGAAGAAAGCACATGGGGCCTGGTCTGTGCTAGCTGACCCGGAGTTACCAAAGATGGAGATGATGTTAGCCAGGAACCTGAAGACCAAGCCGGATAAGGCATGGGGTTCGAAAGAACAGATAAAGGATCTGCAGCAGCAGGGCTAGTAAGAGGTTTGCCAATAGGTTGAGATTCAGGGATGTTTGTGTCTCCAAACGATGAAGAAAATGGTGACATTGACAGTCTAGTAGCAGTATATGCATCTTGCGAGGATGGAGATGCTTTTATGGATGAGCAGGATGGCAAATTGGGGTACATGGAACCTTGCACTGGAGTAAAAGAGCCAGTGACAGAAGAATGTGAAGAAGTAGATGTAATAGATGAAAGGACAGGGTTAACAGGTTCTGATGCATTTATCAATCCCATAATTGGAGAAGAGTTAAGATCAGGATCATTTACATGACTCTGCACTGTCAAAGGAGATGACAGCATCGAAGGAGATTGGACAGGAATAGGGTTCTGTTGAGCTTGAGAAACATTGAGTGGAGTTCCATTGTATCCTTGCCAATACAACGGAGTGGAAAATAATGGAGTATCAACATTTTGAGCAGCCAGCGAATAATTTGATGGATACGCCTGGGATGAAAATTGATGTGTTGGCAAAGCACTCGGATAGACTCTACTGGCTAATGCAGGGGTATCCTGCCGCTGAGTTGATTCTGTTAAAGTTCTACCACCAACAGAAACTGACGGAGAAGGGCTAAGAGGCACACCAGCAAACTGTGACTGCAAAGGGAAGAAACACAAGAAGAAAATTAATTACTCTTGAATTGACCCTTGGAAAGTTTTAAATTTTAGATATTTTCAAATGTCAATACCTGAATAATGGCAGGGTCATTGTTGATCTGCTCATCTATTTGCACAGAAGGGGGAGACTTAACTTGCAGATCCTGGAGTTGAATGTCTCAATAGAGATCAGCATACACCACAAACCAATATTTTATAACATTCCAACAATTTACTATGAGAATTCACATGCATATTTGTGTCTGCACGTGTATGAATCCTAGCATGCTTGTGCATGGCCGTATAAACAAAAGAAATTAAGCAGAAGGTTCCCAATATGAGAGGCAAAAGGACAGTCAAGGCAAAAACCAACTCTTGACTAAATCAGCAATCTTTTCCTCTATATGGTTAGATAAAATACAATCAGAATCAATGAGCAAAACATTGAAGAGCTCCCACTGGCCTGCCATAAGATTTAGCGTTACCCTTGAGTGGACAAGATTCAGCCCAAACCGCATTCTGGTGCCTAAATGATTGTTCTCTGACAGAACTACTTCTACGCATGGTCTCATAGATTGGCACATATTCAAAACAAAAGAATATTAGAGAAGACAGATCCATTAAATGCTCCCACTTACCTTAATGTCACTTCCACGAAAGAGAATGTATTCATACACTTTATCACTTGGTGGCACTTGTGGACCATCCTTCTTCCGACCCTCTGTTCCATAAGATCTTACTGTAACATCAAAAGGAAGAGAACACATCAGGAAAGGAAAATGGCCTAGGAAAACAGCATTAGGAACACCAAAATCATAAGCAATTCCACCTAATGCCGACACATATATCTGAAAAGATTAGTAAACACTGATTTTGCACACCCACTATCTAAACAACCAAATGAATTCATGGAAAAGTAAATCAAACCCAAGTGTTTCAGCACCCTTCCAGAAAAACAAACAAACAAACAAAAAGGAAGAGCAAACATGAAATGTAGAGGGCCTCAAAGACTCATAGAAGAATAAGGAAACATGAAATTTGATAGGGTTTTAAAGACTCATGATTCACCAAGCATGTCCTAAAAATTTACAGTGGTGGGAAACCAAGGCATATTAAGACCTTATGAGCTAGTCACATTCAGGAAAATGTGGAACAATATAACAGTCTTTATGCCACTAAAATAATCCAGATATTAGTTACTCTAAGAATCTGTAAAAGCCAGAGAAAGGATCTGTTCTTAAACAACAAAAGTTATGGACTAAACTGAAAGAACCAGCAACTATGTGCTGAAGAAATTATCATCTATTAATCTGATTCTGCGCACAATATGGATACCACAATATTACAAATATTGGAAACACCGTAAACCCTTCAACTCAAATATATATATATATATATATATATATATATATTGGAAAAATATAACTTATTGATCTAAATGGTTCTGTTTATAGCAACTTATCAATATCTAATCACCTTAAAACAAATGCTCTATCATATATTCACTAAAGTTTCGATCAACAAATTTCACAACCTATAAATACTTAACCACACAAATCGCTTACCAAACCATCATTTCAAGAACCGCGCATCATCACTTCACCAAATAATAAATATAAATAAAAGAGAAAAGGAGAGAGAAAAAGAAAAGCCCCTAGGTCGACAGACAGTAGAAGAAATGTATATACCTAACATGCAAGAGACATTAACCAGTGCGAAATACGCGTACATACGTACGTATGTTTATGAGTGTTTTGATCAAGAAAAATACGAATACCGTTTTGGAGGCCAATGGCGGAATCTTGGACGTTGAGATAATAAAGAACACCTTCATAGCGTATCTCGTACTTGGAGATGAGACTAATGAAGTTTCCTATGTACGAGTCCCCTACATTTTTAGAATTCGACGAGGATTCGCTCGCCATCGCTATCTAATCTACCGCTACGAAAATTGAAAACGAAGCACTATCACGATTCTTTTTCCCGAGAAAATCAGCGAGGACAGACGAGAATGGAGGAAAGAAAAATAGGTTCTTCTTGATTGATTGTTTCAAAAGTTAGGATTTGTTATTCCCTGAAGAATTTAAAAGTTTGCTTTTGCTTGATGGGAAAATTTTCAGGCGGGCAGGGATTATGTAACTTGTGTATTTGCACCGGGGAAATGCCGATTCCTCCACACGACGTCGTTGCAATGCTCACTCTTAAAAGATTTTTTTTTCCTTTACGTGATAAAAATTAAAAAGGGCATATTTAAATTGTGAGAGCTCATTTCCACGTGGCACTCACTAGATTTGTTACAAAAAGAAAAATGAAATTGAAGAAAAATATATAAATTAAGGTTTCTCGCTCAAATTTAATTATATATGAATTATTTAATTTTATGTTGAATTTTTTAACTATTATGATGAATTTGCATGTTATTGCGAGATCAAAATATTTTTTATTAATTTGAGTGAATAATTTTAATAATTTTTAAAAATGTTTAAGATCTTTTTCTTATTTAGGCATGTCTTAATGTTAATGTAACCAATTTTTATTATTAATGATAGTTTTGATCGAGAAATAAATTAAAAAGAAAGAAATGATATGTTTTAAAATTGATTTTTTATAAATTATATAAATATTTCATATCGTAATGGGAGTATTAAAATTGATTGATCATATTTATATTATTTTTTAGAATATTCATATTTTAATAAATTTTAATAAATAATGCTATGCAATTTATTGCAAAATGTATTAGGCCTCAAATTAGTAAATAACTCCGATTATGATGATGTGATAAGAAAATAAAACGGTTGATAAACGCATAATATTAAAATAAATGTTTTATACTATAAATTAATCACTTTACATTTTGTATATACTATATATTTTTTACTTTTTGGTGGGTATAAAATCATTTATTTATTAAATATTTTATTATAGTTTCAAAATCATTATTATAATCCATAAAATTTTAAATAAAAACTAAAGTTGGTGTGGAGTTACAAATTTTAATGCTACAATAAATATTTCTTAAAAGAAACATCCCTATTACAATAAACACTTAAGTATAATGATGCTTAATAGAGATTGGAGGTATTCACATATTAGATTAGCTGTTAAGTTACAAGATGATTCGATTTAGGTAAGTCTCGGATGTTAGATTGATATTTATTCAAGTTCAAGTCTAATGCAAGAAAAAAAAATTTGTATTATAATAATAAATCTGACATTAAGAAGTATGTTAGACTTGAACTTAAATATGGATAATTAAGATATCAGTTGCATTTAACTTGCTCCATAATCAAAGAATGCGGGGACTCTTGGGGAAAGGAATAGATGTGCAGCCTTTAGCCATACGCCATTTCAATTTTATTATATTAATAAATAATAAATTTTAGATATAATATTTAAAAAGTTTTTAAATTATTTTTAAAAATTTAAATAAATTTTCATATTATTATTTTAAATTATATAAATTTTTATATTTTTATTTTAAATCAAATAAATTTTACAATTATGACTGATTTAGTTAAATTATTATTGATTACTTTGACGTAACATATTGATATAATATAATGAATAAAAATGTAATATGATGACATATCATAATTTATGATAATATGATATATTAATTTAAAATAATAAAATAATTATGTGATATTTTTTATATTCTGTATTAATATTATAGTGTAAGATATAAAATGATAATTAATCAAATATTAATTATAAAGATTTATATTGATTTAAAATAAAAAAATAAACTTATTGAATGAATAAAAGTAAATTTAAATTTTTTTGAATAGTTTAAGAATTTTTTTAAGAATTATGTCTAAATTTTAATGTAAAATTTTTTATATTTTTATAATAAACTTAACATTAACGAGAATTTTAGTTGTGGAGACTGCGGAGGGAAGGAAATAGAGGAGCGGGCAGGGGTTGGACTTGGAGCTTTGGGCTGGGGAGTAAATAGATAGGGGGTTCTCAAGTTTCGACCGCGGCAGTGGCCTACGTTTCACCCACCTCTTTTTTTTATTCTCCTCTCCTCCACTCCCCTTCTTTTCTATTTTTTTTTTGGCCTTATAGAAAACACAAAATTTCTGTCTTGTTCTCTACTGCCTAGTACAGGACACGAGATAGACATATTTGATATCCGATTACTCACTGTCAGATCTAATCTCAGCACCAACAAGGAGAGGTGATCGAGGCAGGCACGGAGTAGCGAAGCTGGAGCAGTTAAAGACGATTGGTAGGGAGCTCGCCATGGGCTCCCAAGGCGGATTTTATCAGTCCAAAGAGTTTCTGGATCTGGTGAAGTCCATCGGCGAGGCTCGATCCAAGGCTGAAGAAGACCGGATTGTTCTCAACGAGATCGAGACTCTCAAACGCCGCATCTCGGAGCCCGACATCCCGAAGCGCAAGATGAAAGAGTACATCATCCGATTGGTTTACGTTGAGATGCTCGGTCACGATGCTTCCTTCGGTTACATTCACGCCGTTAAAATGACTCACGATGATAGTCTTCTCGTCAAGAGAACCGGTTACTTGGCCGTCACACTGTTTTTAAATGAAGATCACGATTTGATCATTTTGATTGTCAATACCATACAGAAAGATTTGAAGTCTGACAATTACTTGGTGGTTTGCGCCGCCTTGAATGCCGTTTGTAAGTTGATCAATGAGGAGACAATTCCTGCGGTGTTGCCGCAGGTTGTGGAGTTGCTGGGGCATCCTAAGGAGGCTGTGCGGAAGAAGGCCATCATGGCCCTCCATCGCTTTTATCAGAAATCCCCCTCTTCTGTCTCGCATCTTGTCTCCAATTTTCGCAAGGTTGGTCTTCCCCCATTTTGCTCTTTCTTTTATTTTACTGTTCCAATTATGTTATGTATGTTGATGCATTTTAACCAGCAAGCAGCTATGTCTATGTGTATTTACTGATTGGAATTGGGAAAAGCATCTTGTTTCTGTGCATGCCTCATGCATTTGAGTGATTTGCAGATATGGATACAGACGACTATTTTTTGCGGTTTTTCCTTTTCATTTTTGGAACAGATGTTTGAATGATCATTTTGCACCAGTTGCGTATAAACTAGCATGACTATGTGCGTCTTATGTAATGATTTCAAATTTAGTAACAAGTAAGAGGTGAACTTGGAAACTTCTTGCTCTCTGAATTTGCAACGTGCTTGCCATTAAATTTCAAGTTCTGTCTTCCAATGGAATTAACTCCTACACGATTCACAGCTAAAACCAGAAATTCTGAAATACCTGCTACAGTAGAATGGCCTGTACTAAGTGAAGAAAAAGAAGGGGGATGCGACCATTAATTATAGAGAAAATGATATTCTGCAAGTTCTCAATATGCTTTTTTTTTTGTTGCTATTTCAATGTTTTTGATGTTTTCTTTAAAAAAATATGCCTTGAGAGGTTGCAATACTGATTCTAAAATGTCAAGTTTAATCTTGATGTTTTTGATATTTGATGTTTCTCCATATACTTTTCTTGAGGACTATACACTGTCCCATTTTTGTACTTATAATATGGCTCCCTTTGTTGCAGAGGCTTTGCGATAATGATCCTGGAGTCATGGGTGCAACCCTTTGTCCGCTTTTTGATCTTATAACAATAGATGTTAATTCTTTCAAAGATTTGGTTGTCAGCTTTGTAAGCATTCTTAAACAAGTAGCTGAACGCAGACTACCAAAAGCATATGATTACCATCAGATGCCAGCACCATTTATTCAGGTAATACTTATTTTCAGGTTTACTTAAGCTTTTAGTGGCTTAGTTTTTCAACTGAGAATGTTGCTCATATGACAATCATAGTTGCGTTGTGCAGATCAAATTGCTGAAAATTCTGGCTTTGCTTGGAAGTGGTGACAAGCAAGCAAGTGAAAACATGTACACTGTAGTGGGAGACTTATTCAGGAAGTGCGATTCCTCAAGTAATATAGGAAATGCCATTCTTTATGAGTGCATATGCTGTGTTTCCTCTATATATCCCAATGCCAAGTTGTTAGAGTCTGCAGCTGATGTTATATCAAGATTTTTGAAGGTATATCTGCTGTCACTAGTGACTCCTTTGTGGAAGTTCAGAGTGCTACTATTGAAGAACATTATGAGCTTTTTTTTGGCTATTTTATTGGCTCATGCCAGCTCTTGCCTTTTGTTGACAGAGTGACAGTCATAACCTAAAATACATGGGCATTGATGCTCTTGGTCGATTGATAAAAATAAGTCCAGATATTGCTGAGCAACACCAACTGGCTGTGATTGATTGCTTAGAGGTAAGAAGTTTTTTATTTTAAATCCTGGACTTGGTAGCTAGCCTTCGTTTCATTTGTTTACTTGGCTACGTTATTTACTAACTAAATTCAGAATACTTTAATAGGATTTAAATTCATGCTGGGAGGATTTATTTATCTACTTTCTTATAGCTTGCCCTATATGGTCTGGTTAGCTTACTTGGTTCTGTTAATTGGCGAAAAGGGAAAGTAGCAGGAGCATGGAAGACTGATAGATGAGATTTAGAGGAAAATAGGGAGGAAGCTTGTTGAAAATACTAATCTATTTGTCTTCCGCTTTCATGAAACCTTATGTAAGGATTGATCGATGGGGAAGCAAGAGAGAAAAGAAGCTGTTTCAAATTATGATAATCTGTGTTAAGTTTTTCCTGAATAGCCTTTAGTAATTTGATAGTGGAATAACAATACCTTCAATGGTCTAGGTCTAATATAATCGAGCCTTAGTTATATGTTTGTTTTGCATTACAAATTCGTCTATTTTATTTTCGTCTCATCTTGCTTAAGTCAGGGTATTTTGGGGCCAAAGGGCAGTTCGCTTGACTTGAGCCAAGTAGTAGCCTATGAGTCTTGTATTGGAGCATGTAACACTAATGGGTCCTTGATTGTGGTTCAAGAGTGATTTGATGGCTCAAAATGCCTTTGCATGCATCCTTGGTTGCGAATGATGTGGTTATGTATGTTATAGGAGAAATTTTCAATTAGTGTAAATTACTTATGCTTCCATGTGTGCTCATGATTTTGGTTTAGCTACAAAATTATAATGAATGCTTTCTCCTCTTATGCTATATCTCATGCAATTGTCTTTCTTCCATTACAATTATTTAACATGAGAACATGACACAGGACCCAGATGACACTCTGAAGAGAAAAACCTTTGAACTGCTGTATAAGATGACCAAGTCTACAAATGTGGAGGTTATTGTTGATCGCATGATTGATTACATGATTAGCATTAATGACAATCATTATAAAACTGAAATAGCATCTCGATGTGTTGAACTTGCGGAGCAATTTGCGCCAAGCAATCAGTGGTTCATCCAGGTAATATTTTGCCTCTCACTGGCCAGTTTGGTTTCTTAGCTTAGAATACTAGCCAGTCCTGATATTTTTACTCCGCAGACCATGAATAAAGTTTTTGAGCATGCGGGAGATCTGGTGAATATAAAGGTAGCACACAATTTGATGCGGTTGATTGCTGAGGGATTTGGAGAGGATGATGATTCTGCAGACAGTCAACTGAGATCATCTGCTGTAAGTTATTTTGATGATGGCCTTTTGAATAAAACAAAAGAATAAGAAATGAAAAGAACAAGAACTATTTATCTTATAACAAGTCAGTTTAGATTTATATGCATAATTGCCATAATTGGTTCCATATATATTGGATTAGCTATAATAAATCAACCTATGATTATTTTTTGGGGCAGGTGGAGTCATACTTGCGCATTCTTGGTGAACCTAAGTTGCCATCTGTTTTTCTTCAAGTATGTTTTGTCCTATTAAGTATCCTTTCTGCCTTTTGTTCCTTGCATATGGGCAGTACTAATTTTTTGATTATTTATCTTGGTTGTGAGTTCTGATTGCAGGTAATTTGTTGGGTGTTGGGGGAATATGGAACAGCTGATGGAAAGTTCTCTGCTTCCTACATTACTGGGAAGTTATGTGATGTGGCAGAGGCATATTCTAATGATGAGACTGTTAAGGTATCTATCCGCTGATATGAATTAATGATGCTTGAACCAGTTATTAAGCACTTCTTGATGTGGTTAAAACAAGATGTTTGTATTTTGGAAATTCTTGTAGGTATCTGAAAATGCTGTTCATAATTGTTATAATAGTATATTGTCCATTCAATATCTGGAAACATGATGATCTTTTACTTATTTTTGAAGGCATACGCAGTTACAGCTCTCATGAAAATATATGCATTTGAAATAGCAGCTCGGAGGAAAGTAGATCTGCTGCCTGAGGTTGGTTTTGAAACCTTTTAGGACAAATTTGTTATATGCAAATGCATGCTCATTCTGTTGTTGATGGGGTTGATTATTTGCATCCCTTGGTAATTTTATGTTAGATTGCATATTTTTAGCGCAACATTCTCAATAGTTTAAACTATCTGTGTTTGCTTTTCCTGCATCTGATTGATGCAGAACAACATGCTTTGAAACTAGATCTTAGGGATTTTGCACTATTTTTGCATACTCAAATGGGGGTTAGGTCTTTTTAGTTTGGTAATAAAGTTATTGTTTTTAATGATGGAAAAGGCATGTTTTGGAGTTGTTTGGTTGCCTAAACGTAGAAAATTTTAGTACTGTAATTATCTCAACAGTATCTAGCGAGGACTTTTAAAGGAATTAAGGGTCTGATTGTCTGGAGGTATTAGGGATTTGAAAGTAGGGATGTCAAAGGTTGTTAAGGTTAATAATCTGATTGATGTTGGCTTGAGAAGCAAAAAAGATTAAAAGGAGGAAAAAGGAGAATCTAGATTTCATAGTTATGGTTTCTAAGTGGTTACACATAGGAGACCCTCAGGGTGAGCTTAAGGTTGTCTTAGCATGTTGAAGTGTATTCAATGAACTAAACTAGATCACATTATGTATAGGCTGCTTGAAACTCCTTTTCTTGGGAGAAAAATGACTTGGAATAACAAGCAACAGAAATTAAGGATAGTTTGACCCTAGTTACAACTTAAAAATAAGACACCTCTTAGTCTATGATTTGGCAATGAAGAAAATAAATCAGGCTTGGGGTTGGGTGGTGTCAGATTGGAAGTTTGTGTTTGCATTATCTCATTGAATTGATTCTGAACTTTAGTTTGATAACAGTGCTTTCTTTCGCTTATCAGCATCTGTAGTTTTCAGAAGAGGTAAAAGCTAGATTCAATTTGATGAAAGGCCTTGTTATAGATGCCTGAATATATAGTCTTTGCATGTATAATTATATTCAGCTCCTGTAAATGGTAACAAAATTTGTGGACTGATAGCTCTTTCCTCTCTTGGTGCAGTGTCATTCTTTAATGGAAGAATTATTGGCTTCTCACTCAACAGATTTGCAGCAACGTGCCTATGAACTGCAAGCAGTGATTGGCCTTGATGCTCATGCTGTTGAGTGTATTATGCCATCAGATGCAAGTTGTGAAGATATTGAGGTGCTTTTTAAATTGCTTTTTTTTTTGTTTAATTTGGTTTTGATATCTCTGATGTCTCCTGCATCAATTTTTGTGGAATCTCTTGGCTTTAAATGTGCCCTTCTAGCTGGAGCTCCAAATCTGGGAAAGCCATATTTTTATGAAACTGTTTTCCGTAGAAGTTGATTGTACCCTGTTTGGTTAGTTACATTTTTAAGCTTCCATAACCTAAATTCAGCTTTAATAAAGCATCTAGGACTTAAATTGGTCTGTTCCACTTCGCAGGCAAGTGCACTGCTTGAAGTAGTTGTTTGGAGCTTGAACCTATGATCGATGTGTTGTTTACATGCTCTGACATCTGCACTTCCTTAGTTTATCAATTAAGCACTATTTGTCCTTACTTATCCAATATGAGGTGGTACTTCTTTTAATTGTTAATGTTGCTACAAAGAAAGAGTAATGGAACTGCCTTGCATCTGTCCTGTGCTCCAGCATGGAATTGATCTCTAATTGAATGCTTATGTTGGCTATTTGTCTTTTTTGGTTCTTGTGTGTTGTGTCAACTTGATCATGGTGGAACTTGTTGCTAATTTATGTATCTTTTCATGCAAGAGTACAATCATTGTTAGTTCTCCTTGCAGGTTGATAAAGGCCTTTCATTCCTTAATGGTTATGTTGAAGAGTCGATAGAAAAAGGTGCTCAGCCCTATATTCCTGAGAGTGAACGCTCTGGTATGTTAAATATTAGCAATTTTAGGAACCAAGATCACCACGAAGCTTCATCACATGGTCTCAGGTTTGAGGCATATGAGCTTCCAAAGCCTACAGTGCAATCTAGGATTCCTCCAGCATTACTTGCTTCAACCGAACTTGTTCCAGTACCTGAGCCAATGTATCTTAGGGAGAGCTACCAAACTCCTTCTGTGCCATCTGTATCATCAGATGCAGGATCCTCAGAGCTCAAGCTTCGACTAGATGGAGTCCAAAAGAAGTGGGGTAAACCAACATACTCTCCTGCAACGTCTACCTCAAATTCCACAGCACAGAAAACAGTTAATGGGGTCACACAAGTTGATGGGGCAAGTTCTACAAATTCAAGAACACGTGAAACCTATGATTCAAGGAAATCACAGGTTGAAATATCTCCAGAAAAGCAGAAGCTTGCTGCTTCACTGTTTGGAGGTTCATCAAAAACGGAAAAGAGGCCAGCTACTGGTCATAAGATTTCAAAGGCAAGCACCCAAATGGTGAAGTCTCATGTGCCAAAGTCTAGCATGGAAGTTGCATTGGAAAAGACAGCTCCTGTTCAACCAGCTCCGGATTTGCTTGATCTGGGGGAACCAACTGGCACAAGTGTTGCCCCTTTAGTAGATCCATTTAAACAACTGGAGGGCCTTCTTGACACAACTCAAGTTGGTTCAGCTGCTGCTGCCAAATCACCTGATATTATGGCAATGTATGCAGACACACCTGCTGGCATACACGATAAAGATGACGGTGATCTTTTATCTGGCTTGTCAAAACCTCCAGTGACAAACATGCCTGGTGGTACCACAACCACACAACAAGAGCAACGAAGTAAGGGTCCCAACCCTAAAGATTCCTTGGAAAAGGATGCACTGGTTAGGCAGATGGGTGTGAACCCATCGAGTCAGAATCCAAACTTGTTTAGAGATCTACTTGGCTGAAGTATATTTGAAGGGTTTACATGATTTACTGCTATCCAAATATCAGTGTGGTTTTTCCATGCAGCCGGGCAGATGATGGATCAATCATGCAAAGCTGTACACTATTATGAGCAGATATGCGGAGAGTAGTCGTATAAATCGATTCAGCCACCTGGAATGGGGTTTAAGATTCAGGTACGGGTTGTTCGTAGTTGTTGGAGAGTAGAGTTTTTTTCTTTCATTTTCTTTTTTGGCCTAGGAAGTAGCGCAGACACTGGTGTTCGCTTGAGTGATCGGCTGCGGAGCTTTTCGTGGTTACAACTTTTAAGGTTTATATATGGCTGATGCCCCAAAGACGAAGGGTTTAGCCAAGCATGCTTGCCGCTTTTGCCCTCTGACGTTGGGTCTCTTGTTGTTATAATTATGCTGTATAAATATTATCAATAAATTGTCCTTATTTTTTCTTTTTTGGAATTTCATTCAATTATAATTTTTCTTGCTTGCTATCTAAAGAATTTGACGCTGATAATTATCGACCTTAAGTTTTTCTGACATTTATGTTAGCAACCAATTTAACAAAATATTTTTTGCAATTATTAACTGATTAAATGGCCCATCCTTTGTTTGTTTCTTTTTTCTATTTTTCGGCAAATTAGAAACATTCCTCCTTTAGCATGATTGAAACTTTCCAAAAATTTTCCTTTTTTTTTATAAAAAAAAACACTTTTCTATTAGCTAATTTTTAAAACAAACATTCAAAGAATGTGTGTATAATGATAGACAATGTAATTATTATTAAATGAAAATTTTAAATTTTTTAGAAAATAATATTCTTTATAGTTATTGTATAAATAATGTAATTACAACTGGAATTGAATTAAGAGAAAATATTTTGGGGAATAGGAAAGTGTGTTTTTAAAAGAGAAAATACACGGCGAATTTTAAGTCTCCACAATTTGAAATTAAAAAAGAAGAAGAGATTCATTTCGGCGGTCGGATCTGTCTCCAACTCAGGGCTGTGGGCTCTCTCTCGGCGAATTTGGAGGAAATTCCAAATTTTGAAAATTGAATTGGTTGGGAACTACAAAGCGCGCCCTTTTTAAATTGGGTTGTGCTTGTTTGCTTCTATTGAAGAAGAAGAAGATGGGTAGCAATGGCGGAGGTGCGGCTCCTCCGTTGATAGGATTAGGGAGGAGGCAATCCGATTTGAAAAAGTCTTTCAACCTCGCTGTTCGTTCTCTTCTCACTAGCTGTCCTAAACAGGTTAGCTTCTCTCTCTTTTTTTTTTGTTTTCTTTATTTATTTTTTAATCTCTTCCATTTCATGTTTTGAGAAATTTTCTCTTTTAGTTTGTCTTAATGACTATGTGGATGCTTTTAAATACATTTTTCCATTCTAATTATGAAGGAATTTAGCAAAGCATTTCCAAATTTGACAAGTGCCGAGCAAGAACGTCTCCACCAGCTTTTCATTCAGGTAACTTCGTCTTCTTCGTCTTTTTGTTTTTTTGCCCATATCAATAGTTTATATGCATTGTATTTCAGTATTTGAGTCTATGTGGGCTAAGCTTCTTTATATAAACTTCTCAGAATTCTAAAAGAGGAGAGCTATTTGAATTATAGATTTCAACACTATCTGAAAAGAGGTGTTTATCACAGTATTTCTTGATTTTGGGTTGTGGGCTCCTTTGTGTCCAACCTTTTGACTAATACTTGATCTTGGTGCAATGAAAAATTTTCAGGTCATTACCTCTTTGCACGGGAATATAGAGGTATACCCTTTGCTTCTCATGCCTTCATAAGTCTTTTTAAGTGTACAATTACTTTACCCTTTGTTTCTTTAAATTATTCACAACATTCAAGTGTTTTTGGCCTACTGGTTTTACCCAAAGGCTTTAGTTTGCACATTTCAATGGAACTATCATCAACTCTGTTGCTTTGTTTGAATAACTATTACTGGTAACAGAAATTAGGCCAGTTTTCTCTGCTGTTATCTTTTAATATTATATAGTATGATATTTGATTTCTAATTTTACCTCTTCAATGTCACAGGATGAGTTTAAGTCTTTATGCCAGGAAACACAGGTATTCCCTTTTATAATTACTACTGCTCTGGTCGTTTTGTTGATATCAGGCTATTAAACCACTGATGTATGTGTTGTTTCATCATTTGAAATTGAGTACATGTCAAGTAAAATATAGGGGGAGGTCTATGACCATTTGGATTTTGCAGGTTATTTTGTTGTCTTAAGCTTTAATTATCCAAAAGTTTCACAAAGATTTTTTTTAAAAAATTTCTTGGTGAATTATTGTGTCATCCATGTGGTTTAATGATGTATAGTGAAAGAACTTAAAAAAAAAAATGATGTATAGTGAAAGATACAGACAAAAAATCTTGGGAAAAAAAGAGAGTTTTGAAGGCACTTATTGAAGTCTATAATAGCAATTAAGCCTAGTTAGTTATAGTTAGGGAAGGTTATAGCATCACTTAAGATGGTCTTCGATTGCAAATCAATTAAATGTGTTTAAGAAGGTTTGAAGCCCTTATTGAGTTTCAGTTACGAAACTTTGGGAGCTGTCCTAGAGACTTGAGTTTCTTCAAGAGGGTCAACGAGATCCTCTGGTTTAAAGCTTATATCAATATTGCCATCTGTCTATTCATGAAAGAAACAAACCTATTTCATGGACTACAAAAACCAGGCAACAAAATAATTGGGCTCTGGTATCATAAATATTCAATATAAGAAGCCAATTGGAGAGACTGAATGTAAATATAAGGCCACAATGAATCTCAAACTTAACCAACATGGGGCAACCTGACTTAGTGTACATGATTGTCTACATCAGATTCAATTTGCTGACCATTTCATTGATGTGCATCTATCATAACCTTGAACTTTTAAGTTTCTTTGTTTTATAGGTAGCGACTGCCCTTGATACCGTGGAGCAACTTGTGGAAGAACAACATCTTGACCCTTTGTTTTCAGATAAGTAGGTACCATCTGGTTTCTAATAGATTCCTCTTTGAATGTTATGTGGTTAACTAATAACAGTGGATTACATTTCCAATCCAATCTAATTTCAATACATGCAGTTGCAAATTGAATTTTCTAAGATTTGAAGCACTTTAGCTTCTTATTCTGCAAGTTAGAACTGAGACTCTAGTTATGTGCCAATCTTCCTTTTTCAAGTTGTATCTGCAGTTCTTGAACAGAAGCATTTAAATAGTGTTGAACAAATCATAATTACATCTTATAAATGAGAAGGACATTCTAGGTACACAGAAAATATCTCAGACACGAGGCTATTTAGGAAAGGCTCAAGTAAATAAGCTGACATAGTTGAGAAACCATAAATAACTTTGTGTATTTGTTTCAACCTTCAAAGACTAGAGTTCCTTTAGTTTCTGCCTGTCAAAACAAGCCCTGTCTTGCTGCTGTCACTTAATATATTTAAACCCATGGTGTATCAACTCCTGTTGAGGTTAGGATCTACAGTTGGATGGGAACTAGGGAAGTAAGTTGGTGATGACAGATTTCACACAAATTGGAGAATTGTCATGGAAACTGTTGTTTGTTTTACTGGAATGAACCCTGTGATCAAAAAGTGGTCCTAAACATGCTTGATTTTAGCATTTGTCAAGGAAAAGCTGTAGTTATAGTTCAAATTATGCCATAAATGGCGACAAGTTATATTGCTCTTTGTTTTCATGCTGTAGTTATAGTTCAAATTATCCCAAAACTGCAGAGAACCTCAGAATATTGCTGAGTTGCTATGCTTTCATTTTTGAACTGGTGAGGAATTTAAATGCAGGACTAATATAATGGATGTGGTGCACAATCTGTCAACAGCAAAGAAGGCTGAGATCCAGTACTTAAGGGGCCTGCTGGAAAGGGTAAGAAATGAACTCACGAAATTTCTCTATTATAAAGTTACTTTGTAGGCGATTATAACCTATTTCTCTTTTTCAGTCTATATTCATATTCTTACTATCATTTCTGTGCTTAAAGTCTGAACAGAGCTAGGTAAGCTATTAAAATAGTCGTACAAAATATTTTTGGGCAGTGTTCAAATGAAGTAGGACTCTGTGTTCTTGGGGTTTATAGACTTGGTTGCTGTTTGGCTGAACTAATTTGTTATGGTTGACCTTCACTGATAAGAAACATTGGGAAGTTATGGCAGTCTTATTTTTTCTAACTTTTTATAGGCTGAAGAACATAATCGCCTCATCCAAGATCGGGTTGAGCTACTTAAGAATAGAAAGCAAGAAGTTTCGAGCACGAAAGATGTTGAGAAGGTGTGTTTTTGTCACTATGAATATTTTTTCTCTTTTCCAAAGGAATGTATCTGTTGAAGTGTGGGCTTAAAGCCATGTGTTTGATGGCTAATTTAACTTGGGAAAATCTTAATCTTGATCTACCTAACACAACTTTTGCAGGTAAGAGGTGGAATTTTAAGTTATGGGGAGCATAAAATATCAGTGCTTTAGTGATCTGCAATTGGCGGGCTAATGTATCTTCCACAGCACCGACAAGCTGCATGGATTGGTTGATCACACCAACACATTTGTACTGAGATGCTCAACCTTCAGTTTGTCTGCTTGAATATGTTGTACTAGTCAGAATGGAGTAAAGTGCTCTTTGTTGTATACATATTGAGCATGGAAACAAGCTCTAAAACATAGGATTGGAAAGATTCTTGTGAACAGATTGGTAATGTTTATAGCACAACGAGGAGCCTTGGTATGTCTCTTTTATCTTGTAAATTTCAACATCACTATTTTGCTGATCTTTTCAAACGTACCCTGCTTCATTTTGTTGAAATATGAAATCATACAAGGAAACCTTAGCCGCATGCTTAGCTGTTAAAGATGCCTTTAAAAAAAAAAGGAACAAGTGAACAAAAGCAGCGAAGCTACGAGCTATGATTGGGGGGTGGAGGAGCTGTCATTAGAATCCAAAATTTCGTCTGAAATCATGCAGAAAGTTGCGTATTACCATCTCATGTCAAGGACGAAGGAGCTTCTGTGGCATAATGCTTGCTGGCATCATTGAGCAAGCCTACAATAAACAAATATGAATTACAATCTTTTTATGTATAATTTCTTCTCATTTTCCGCGTGCGTTTTCCCTTAGATATTTGAGCATTCTCCTGCCAAGTCCCAAGTTCCAACAATCAAATATGTCATGGCTGGCACTGAGCTGGATTGACATGACCTCTTCTCTTGCTCCTCTGCTGTTCTGTTGGTTAGATGATGTAGATGTGACAGAAGGGTATTGGATTTATAATCCTGAATTTTACAAATCTTATAAAATTAATTTTTTTAAAAAAAAATAATTTCTTAACAAAAATGATAATATATTTAAGTTGAACTCGATTTTGGTAACAACGCCAAGCACTGGAATAAGAAAGAATTATAACAAGAGTGTTTACGAATTCAAATAGGGAAAAAAAAATGTTAGGAAATATCATATCAAATGGATAAAAGAGAAATAATGTCCAACGTA